AACCCTAAATAGTAGTTTCCCGAAATAGGGGACCCCAATATAGACCCCAATATACTATAATCCTTATTATGGAGACCCCCCAAAATGGTACCCCCAATTTGGGGAAAACCCCAAATCAACAAAAATCCTAAACCCTAAACCCTAAATCCTAAATCCTAAATCCTAACCTCTAAACCCCCAAAACAACAACTTGAAACCCCTGCTCCCGCGCCGTCTCTACGCTGGGGCGAGGCTCTGGCAGCGGCCACCGCTTCAGGAGCAGCCTTGGAGTTTAGGGGTTTAGGGTTTAGGGGTTTAGGGTTTAGGGGTTTAGTTAGGGTTTAGGGGTTCAGGGGTTTAGTTAGGGTTTAGGGGTTTGGGGGTTTAGGGGTTTAGGGTTTAGGGGTGTAGGGGTTTAGGGTTTAGGGTTTGGAGGTTTAGGGTTTAGGGATTAGGGTTTTGGATTTAGAGTTTATGGTTTCAAGTCTTGGGTTTGGGCTCTAGGGTTTACAGTTAGCGTTTCGAGTTTAGGGTTAAGAGTTTAGGCTTGTAAGTAGCAGAAATAATTCTATGGCACAGGGTTTTACTTGCGCACTGAGAACATCACACTCACTCCCGTTCTTGCAGAATGCTCCCCATGCAACGTGACGTCCCTAAAAATGTAGCATGCATGCTGACCCTTGCATGTTGAACACATGTCGCCATACAACCGGGCGAAGCAAGCAAAATACAATTTCAGGGGGAACATTAAGCGGAAGCGGCAAGCCCTTAGCCCTGTACCCGCACATCACCCGCTCTAACCTGTGTATGGTCATCTCCCGAAGTACAGGTGCCCCTGCACACTTCAATCTGTAGGAACTCCCAAACGTGAGCCCTAAATTTCAGACACCACCCATATCATATGCGAGTGAAGCAGCCAGCAGAGCTTATCGTGCTCCTGACGGGACTCCTGTCACAGAAAGATGGGAGTCTCTCTCCAGCTATAGTGCTCGGGGTGTTGGGGGGTTAAAGAGGGGGCCCTGGGACCAGCACTGCACCTGAGATATGAAAGAACCTGCCGCCGTATAGTCCAAAATGCAGACCACATCCATCTCTCAGTTGAACATTGTTTCATAATTCCTTCCAAAAACTTGCTTCGAATCCTGCCCCTTAAGCTGGGGAACTTGGTCTAACAAACGTCTGTAAGTCTCCAAGGTCTGAACTCGACCATGTGCACTTTCACCTAGCACTAGAATTACAATGAAACATACGGCAAACGCTCTATTACTCTTCGAACGGCTGCGTGCCAGAAGTGGGATCCCATAGCAACATTCTCCAGGCGCGATCTTAGCTGTTGCACTCCCTCGGGCACATGTCGAAGCCCCTCATGAAGTTACTGGAAGCATGGTATTGCACAAGAAAGTGCACATAATATGTCTGAGACAGCCACTAATACCCCTTTTCCTTTCTGGATGTATTGTAACAAGAGCAGCCTACACGCTTTCCTGACAAGCCCTCAGGATCCGGCCCACAACAAATCCTAACCCCCACGCAATGCAAAACCTACATTCCAAAGACTTGTTCCAAATAAACCTCTGTAGAACTTAGAACCCTAGCTTCCATTTCATGTTCTACTCTCTTGTCCATTTGATTCTCGACTATCCCTCAAACCCGAAAGCCCACATAAATCCCTAGGTAATAACTTGTCAGGGACCCTACCTTAACCACAAAAGTACGTAAAATAATAGCCCTTCATCCATAATAAAAGACATAAAGGCCATTAGTTCACAAACTTTAAGGGTTCAGGTAGTGATGACGCTAAAGGCAGGGCACCTTGCTCATCACCCCAAGCTGCTCAGCTGCATAAGAGCCTTGGCTTTGCACCCCTATTCCCCTTTAGGCTTATTAGAGTTCAGGGTTAGGGTGTAGGATTGTGGGGTTGTAGTGTTATAAGTTATCATAGTAGTTTCCATTATCTTTTCCATTATCCCCAATATAAGCCCAATATAACCCAACCCTCCCCTTGAGGCTTATTAGAGTTTAGGGTTAGGGTTTAGGGTTGTGGGGTTGTAGTGTTTAGTGTGTTAGGTGCCGAGAACGAATCCCAGCATATTATATGGTAGTTTCCATTTTATTTTCCATTATAGCATATTGGGGTTCTCTAGGGATAATGGAAAATAGAATGGAAACCACTATTCTAACTATAGTAACTATCCATGAGCATTACCGTCATGCTGCCGTTGCCAGATGGCGCTTCCAAGATGTGAGAATTGCGGGTTGGGAGCTACTTTCATCCGAAAGCCCGCAGTTCTGTGCACAACTGCGCGCCGCGAGGCAGTTTCTGAATTACTGGTGCGTAAGTATAGGAAAACGGAGAAGTAGATCCCCATAGCTATCCCCAGAACTCTCTGATCAGAGTATTTATTAAGTACCCGTAAGCGGACTAGTAGACTATATGCAGTCCTAAGTCCTAAACCCTATTAGCCCTATAACCTAAACCCCGCCAGGCGGTATCTCGTTGTCAAAGATTCTTTGTCAAAGGGCTGGAGAGCATGCCATAGGTAACACCCAGGCCATGGGGAACCACACCATCGCCATACGCCTCCGAAAGAATAGCATGGAGGGAGGTTCGGGTTTAGGTAAAAAGGGGTTCTAATGGGAACCCCAAGAACATAGTAGGAATATTATAGTAGAATATAAGGATCCTGGTAAGTATAGTCCCGTTATATTCCTACTACATTCTTGGGGTTCCCTGTTTGGGGTTCCCATTGGAACCCGTTGATTAGGTTTGGGGGTTGCGGGTCCGTTTTTAAGAGTTGCGTAAGTTGCTTGGGGCTTCGGGCTTGGGACTGAAGGCTTCCCAGAAAATAGGGGTTTAGGGTTTCGGGGTTTAGGGTTTAGGGGTTTAGGGTTTAGGGGTTTAGGGTTTAAGTGTTCTAAAAATTCGAAATCCGTTTTTTAGGCAGCTGTAACAGGGGTAATGCCTGAATTGGCAAAAGCACCCAGGGTTAGTGAGTAAAGGTTCAGGCATAACCCTTCAACGCCAAAAAGTGGGGAAGTCAACCCTACACCCTAAACCCTAAACACTAAACCCCAAACCTATAAACCTAACCCAAAACCCTAAACCCCAAACCCTAAACCCTATGCTGCACGGTTCAGGTGGCTTACGCCTTGGTTTGGAGACTTGGGGTGATGGTGGTGTAGTACAAATCTACCTACGTAGACACGGGACCTGCATGACGTCTCAGTTACCTACAGTTTACGAGTTCTACCACTAATCAGAGGGGAAACTGTAAGCAATTGGGGTTACAGGTAGGGTTCAGCTATTGGATGTAGGGCTCTACTTTTCTAGACGCTAGACCTGCGACGTGGAGATACCGATAGGAATTGGAGCTTGAGCTTGGACTGTTCTAGCAGTGTTCAGATATTGTTCTTGGGAAGCTAATCTAGAAGGTACCTCAGGTGAGCCATAGTCTCAACTTTTAGCATCCCCCTTCATAACCCCTATGATGGTCCCTATACAACTCCCTCTAGAGAATTGGGAACCTAAACCCTAAACCCTGTAAAATTCCCAATATATAGCCACCTTTTAAGTAATTTAGACTCTAGCTCAAGCAGTGAAGGCATGTTGCCCTCCATCCTGCAAAGGAATGAGCCTCAAACCCAAAAGTGCCTCTGAATTTATAGTTTTTTTGGGGGGGGGCGGGGGGGTGTGGGGTGGTGGGTGTATGTCTCTATACATATATATGTATATCGACACACACACACACACACAAGTCTTTTTGTTGGGGGGGGGCTGGAGTTGCGGCTCCAATGACACATATGGATCTGCTAGTTGCGACATCACAAACTTGGATGATCTCGCAGTGCTGTCAGTGAAGTTTAATGCTGCTTCTGTCACGCAGGTTGCAACCTGTTGGGACTAGCTTTGGAGGTGGGGAAGGGATCTTGTGGAGGTCCCCCTAAATCCTAAGCCCTACACCCTACAGTCCCCTTTGAGTAGATAGAATATGGTTTTGGGTATACTATACTAAGATCCCCATATACCCCATATTCTATCTACTTAAGGGGGACTGTAAACCCTGCATCATCCCCACGGTGACTCTTATAACCCATTCCATCCCATTCCCGCATTCTCAACCAAGAGTGAGGAAGCTCACGGTACTGCAACCTCCCTGCAGCCTCTCTCCCAGAAGCAAGCGGCCACTGGAAAGTTGTCAGTCTAAAATGTATCGGGAGTTTATGAAGCTCTCACGTGTGAGGTGTCCCTTTGAACACGGACTGTCACCGGTATTCTCTGACCCCTAAGTGCCTTGCAAACCTTTTAAGCCACTATTGCAAACCTGTTTTCAGGCCAAGCTATACCCACTTCAAACCCTGCCGCAGATCCAAGCGCAGGCTTGACATACCCAGACACGGCCGCTTCTCAAGATAAAGATCCCTCCCGAACCCTCATGACTATAGTAGCTGCAAATTATGGCAGTTTTGTGTTATAACTGTCATAATTGGAATAGACGATTAATGGCTCCCAGGAAGACTACTACTTGTTGAAGGAGCTTGGGCCTTCTCAATGGCATGGGAGACAGTGTGACCATACTCGAAAATCATGCCAGCGTTCCTCTCGTACGCGTCTTTCGCGAGCCTGGGAAGGGCAGAGACACACCAAACTATCTTGTCATAACATACTGAAACATATGGGTGGTTGTCAAAATTATGGTCCCCTTTTGGGTCCCTATTATAATATGGCACCTAATATTTAGGGTACCCAAAAAGGGACCATAATTTTGACAACCACCCATATCATGGTATACTACAATATACGATGATATACTACAGCTTGTGATCATTTGCTACAACTGCACTTGCTGCTGGAAACTATGAAGGTGTAAAGTGGCCTGCCAGGCAGGCTGCGCACCTCTCAACACAGGGGGGGCCAAACATTAGGGATATACAGGGAGTCCCGCGCTCTGCGTCTTGTGGGCCCCCCCCAACCCCCTTACCCTCTACCCACCCCCCTCTCATGGTATGAAACATATCTATAAACCCCACGTCGGCCGTGAACTCTCCGCTAAAACTCTCTATAACCCTTTACAAACCGTTACAAACCCTTACCACCAGACCCAGACCACAGGGCCACAAGACCAGAGGGGTGTACCTATATAAAACCGCCCAAGAAAACTTTATGAGATCTTGAATGTCTTAGACTTTTATGAACCTTGTATAAAAGCTATGAGCCGTCTGTGAACCTTCTACACAATATAAAATCTTTATCAACCCTCTAGAAAGCTTCTGTCTTCCTAGGCCCCTTATAAAACTTTGCAACCTTTTTAAAGCGTCTAGATACCCTCAAAACACCTCTTCAACCTTCTGAAATCGTGTAATAAAACTTGTGAACCCTCGGTAAACCTTCTAATTATGCACCTTCTAGATGCCCCCTATCAACACTACGAGCCCTCTATAACCCGAATGCAAACCGCAAAACCCGGACGACAGGACCACAACGATGGAGTTGTAATCATTGTCCACGTCATGGACCATCGGGGAAGGGTTCCGTGACTGCTGGCGCATATATAGGGATTCTACTGGCATTATTTAGGCTTACAGAATATAGGCATCACATAGGGATACGTAAGAACATTATAGGGATTTGTAAGGATATTACGCCAATGATAGAGACAATGGAAAGCGAAATGGACAATGAATTGCAAAGGTTTAGGGGTTCGAGGGACATGGGGGTTTCTCAGAACCGGGGGCGCCCAGGAACCACAAACATATATAGAAATATGGTAGTGATTGTAGAGGTCCTTAGAAGGCATTGTATAGGGAACCCTAACGAACCCTAAGCCCTAGTTGAGGAACATCTATGGCGTGCCGGCATGGCTTCTCTGAGAAGTTGATATGCTTTGATCTGCTAGCCGGCTAGCTTAATCCTCTCCCACTAATATTAAACCATCCCCACCCCCCCAAATCTTATATGCCACCTAATATATTATCATATACCACACAATGGGAGTATCTAATATTAGGCGGGGATAATGTTAGGAAAAAGGGATTCCGACTTGTTGCTTGTGCGCAGCTGCCCGAAGCAACACACAGTCCATCTTAAGGCTTTGAACCAGCTAAACCTTGAACCCCGTAAACCCTCGTCCCTAAATAGTAGCTTCCATTTTCTTTTCCCTTATCCTCATATAATCCCTATAATCTGTATAAACCCCCGTAACCTTATACCCTGGTTGGGAGCCTGAAGAACGAACATCGCAGCTAAGTTTACCTCTGCTAGAATTAATCTGAGGGCAAAGGGGTTCCCTTGTGTATTCACGCTCCGCTATACCCAAGTATTATATACCCTATTCCGACTGATTCCGACGGATCATGCCCCTGATTAAATGCCCTAAGCCCTCAACTGTCGCGATCGAGTACTCTAGCGTCTTAAGCCGAATCGCACGGACATTTTGGCATCAATGCCCAGAGCCAAGAGCTCCATGAGCATGTGATCGTCCATGGTGAACTCATCGCCTGTCGGCTTAGCTGTTGGGTGGCTTTCTGGGCAATGAGGGGGAATCATAAGGAGCCACATGAGTTTTGTACACATTTTGACAAACTTGCACCTAAGCCTTCCTGTACTCGTTCATATGTGGAAGAAACAGCTGCTCACAGGGATCCCGAATAAGCAGCGCTCAAAGGTGCTGGTCACCTACATACGAGCCCGCAACTTTTAACCCTAGACAGCTCTCTGGTGTTACCCAACACGTATCCTGAACAAAGCGCCGTGCATGCTTGATATGAACGTGCCGTGATCTGTTTCGTTTCCACAAATTGGGGGCCCCTGTTTGCAAATTTACATAAGAAAGACTACACTATATCAAGGTCCACAAGTGGGGCCCCTTATTTACGGAAAGCCCACATGACAACGATCATCTTTGGAGAGGCGCGGGCTGTTGCACGCGAAAACATGCAAGAACGAAACCCAATCCTGAACTTTTCCTGAAGCCACTTTGTCCCCACAGGGGGTCCTAAAGGGCTTTTTTTGGGGCCCCACTTTGAAATGTTGTTGCTTGGGCTCTTGGGGCAACTAAAGACACAAAAAGAACAATGGAGGTCAAAACTGATTATGGCCTTTTCGTGTTTGTTACCCACACGGAATATGAAGTTACCACTCCTCGTAGCATTCCAGTGAGGAACTAGAACAACGGGTTCCAATATAAACCCCAGCATGCCACGATCCATGTTATGGGATTTCCAAACACGGGCCCTTCAATTTGTGCAAGCCTTATAAGCCCTAAATGTTTCCGTCAATATTCTTATACGATTTCTTTAAACGGCCTTTTGTTTTCAAGCCTCAGCCCAACGTAACCCCAGCTTCCTTTTCATAATCCAGTTTTTGTCAATTCAATCGCTTTATCGAGATCAAGTTACCAAACCCTAAAGCCCTGGACGCTAAACCCAAACCCCTAAACCCTCAACCTGAATCCCTGTTCAAGTCCAAAAGGGGAAAACGCCCTGTGGCCTGATCCGCCTGCATCTGAATTGATCCTCTCGGAGCTCAACGCCTGACCCACAAAGGTGGAGATGCAAGGTTTATGGGGTGTAAGGTAGAAGGTATATTTAGGGTATTAGGGTATGTATGGCGCAGCGTCGCCAAGCCCCCATTCCCCCCACAGGCCCCATGGTCATGGAACCCAATGGCAGCTATCATGGAGCCTAACATCAACAGGATGCAGCCCGCCCGTGTTTGTTGCAGTGGAAAATGAAGCCCCTGTGGCGCCTGTGGTTGTTGTTTTGGGGTGTGGGAACCTATGGAACAGTAAATTGAACACATCAATCCTTGCTATCCATATGAAGCTGGCCATGGACCCGAATGTCAGCAGGATGAACTTGAACCACTCCTCCTCCCTTGTGGTGCCTGTGGTTGTTGTATTGGGGTGTGGGAACGTATGGAACATTAATAGAAACAAAGCACACCAATCCTTGCTATCATATGCCCTCCACCTCCACACCTCTGGCACCCTGTATGCTTCCCTGTATTCTTGTACTTGTGTCCGGCTCGTGAAAGCTGTCCAAAAAGCCTGCATTTTTGAGATCTGCGACATCAAAAATGGTAGCAGTTACGAGGATTCTGAGCAGGACACCCGCCATCCCAGCGACTGCTGGTACTGTTGCGACCTGCAACATAAAAACGGCGACGGCTGCAAGGACTCTTCAAGAACGATGACAGTCGCGAAGATCGCGAAGAGAACATCCACCATCCCTGTAATTGTCGTCTGTTTTGTGAGTGAGTGAGTGGGTGAGTGAGTGTGGAACGACCTGGGCTGCACTCCGGCCTACGGAAACGTTCCCTCCCGACTTTCTCTTCCCCCCTCCGCGTACGTCATTGGGGAGATCCAGCGGCAGTTCCACGCTCCGGGCCCCTCAATCTGAGAAGGGCCAGGTGCCACCCGAAC